CTCGAAAATACATCAGTGGCTACTTCTAGGCCAGCCACGCAATACAGAAATACACGAAATAGCGAAAAGCCACCACCATGTTTCATTTTCGCAGTTGATTTTTGAAGTTTCACGAGAAGATGTAAAAACAACTGGATGTCTAGACGAGCTATCTCTTCGCTACATGTTGATATCGAAGCGAGATCGGCCTTAGCACCTGTTTTGTTTCTCTTTCTTGCGAACTGGAAGCTTAATCTTTGAAAACTCTCGATGCTGCGATTGATTCTTTGGGTTCTTACTTTTCGGCTCTAATGGGCTTTTTCCGCGAAAATCAAGAAATCTATGCCACTGGGATAGTTTCTCCAAGAATTTATAGAGTAAGAAAACCCCTGCCTCGTTATGCCAATAACCCTTCATAGCCAAGATGGCCTAACGTTTGGTAAGCCCCGGATTTCGTTGTTTTCTGCGGATATGAAGAAAAAAAAAGCAGCGCCATCTTCGCACCTCGCAACCAGCACGCTGCGTTGCTCAGGAGGTCATCTAGTACACTAGCAAAGCGTGGGAAGAGAGCAGCTGAATCTGCCTCTTTCCCAGTGCTCACCTCCACACCGATTCAGCCCTCCTGGCATTCACAAAATCAGTAAACGGTCGCTCCAATTGCAGTTATCAGTGCATTACTCAAACACGAGATGTACACGAAGCAAATCGAACAAGGTGATCAGATCAGCTTCGCCCAAGGGTTTCCACGGCGCAGGTGCCATCCACCATCAGGCAATACAGGACGAAATTCTATTTCTTCTTGTCAGTCGAAGCCCTAGTGAGCGTCAATATCTATTATTATGCTGGACGTAACGTAGACTGGAAGGTCACAATCAAAACTGCATGCCGACCAAACCTCTCACTTCAGTAAGAAGCAGTTTTTCGGCACCAGAAGTGATTGGAACGCCGCGAACAGTTCACGAAAATTAGCCGCTGTTCCGATTGCCCGCTCTTGCGTCGCATTCTCCTAGTCCTGAGTATGGAAACTGCAGTTGCACGCACAGCTAAGCAAAACACCTTTAGCATCTCTACAGTATCTACCTTTCTGAGACTCAGAACAACGGTCCGTAGCAAACGCTTCGACATTTTGGTCACCAACTGCAACCATATACAAGTTAACAGTTTACAAGGTAAGAGATGAAGAGACCAAGCCAACTACTGTACGATTGTGAGATTGCCTCTGACCCACGCAAGAAGGGTTGCTCCTAAATTTGCATATACACCAAAACCTGAATATGGCATACACTTGATCTCACGGGTAGGCTGCTGTGTTACCTAATGTGACATGAAGGTATGAGTAACTCATTGTTAGAAGAGTCGCACTGCATCTAGTCCTATATCGCCCTGTTTTTTTTTTCGGTTTGATGAATTGCTCCTCATTTCCTTACTTGAGCATCTCCGAGAATCTGGGTAAGTAACCATCACTAATTTTCAAGTATTAATTCCGAAAGCTTTGATCAATGCTGCCCGTGACGCGAGGGCGATCATCCTCGATGGACTGAGCTGGATGGCAATAATCGAGGCTCCGATGAAGGCGAAGAAGCCGAAACGTTAGCCTAATAAAGCAGGGGCGGAAGTTGCGTAGTGACAAGTGGGGCCGCTTATCACGTGCGCGGTCCGGGGATAAAATCCTGGGTCGTGCGTCGTCCAGGCCAACCAAGCCCTCCATCCCTCTGGAGTCGGTTAATTGGTACCAGACTTGTCTGGGAGACCAAAAACACTGAATTGTACACCGGCTTGCCCCCGCAAGTCATTGTATACGCCAAATCTCATTTAGGTTGCCCTTCCGAATGTAGAAAGAAATGGGTGCCAGATCCCAAATGGCTATCGATTACCGGTGAACGCATTTTCTTAACATTTTGGAAGTGCCAGAAAATAAGTTCAAAAAATT